ATAAAGCTTTAAAATATATTAAAATAAAACATTTCACAATATTACTATTTCTACTGTATTTTAGTAAAAAAAAATGTCTTCATACTTCACATGAACATTCTCAACATTGTTTTAAGGCAATCAATGTAGGCCTATATGGAAATAAAACTGGAGAGAACTTGCACATTTTTTCTTGCACATTTGCATTATTATACGTTACACAGTAATAATAATGAATAATTTTGTCTTTTTCAAGAATTTATAATTACAACATTTCAAGAAACCAGTCATTTTATGACAACAACTATAATAAAGAGCATTTGCATTTAAAAAAAGAATGAAAGAAAAAAGATAAGAAAAGAAAAAGTAAATCCCAGTTCCTCAGCCAAGTCCAAATTAAAAAAATTCTGTTGTCCATCTACAGGAGCCAATAATGTTTTTGTCAAAATAAGATCATCATATTATTTAGAAACAAACTTTAGTTTCGTCCAGTGCTTGAAGTGGAAATACAAAAGTGCCGGTACTCCCGATGCGCGAGGGAAATCGCGTTCTGGGGCTGGGGGGGATCCCCCTCGGTGGAAATTGGGAGGGCACAGGGCGGCATGTGAGAAGTGCCGGCCTGGAACATCAGAAAAATTCACGGTACGGGTTAAAGTATAAAAGTGCTGCTACGGCGTACAGGTGCGTACCAGCCCACTTCGAGCACTGGTTTCATCATTTTTTCATAGCCCACCTCAACTGCATGCCGACACTTCTGCGTGAAAGGCTGCGAGTTGCAGTTAAACACATAGACATGGATTTCTGCGCTCATGCGTCAGTTTGTTTTCGGTTAAACTGCGTTGCTTTTACAAGCGTTGATTCGGTTGTTGCATAAAGATTAATTTCTTTATTCCAGGATTGTCAATCTAAATGAATACAGTGACAAATAAAGTAAATTATAACTCAAACTTGAGATTTTACTGGGGCACAGCAGATTTTTACTGGGGCACATGCACCAGTTAATGGGGTCAGTAAATGTTTCTGACCATTACCGCCCGCTAGAGATTTTTGTGTCCAGTCCCGCCCGCTCCCGCAAACATATATGGCATATAATTTTCGCGCATCAGGGAGCTGCTATCAATCGGCCTGTTTGATTGTAAAAAATCGGTATTGGAATCGGCCATGAAAAATCATGATCGATGCATCACTAATTCCAAACTTTTGACTGATAGTGTATTTTAAAATGTCATTTATTCCTCTCATGGCAATACATTTTTTTTTTTAAATTCATATCTTCTCAGAAATAAGCATTGCATGAGCAATGAATATTTGCTTTAAATATATAATTATATCTAAAGACCATTCTAATTCATTTTAGATCATTAGATATGACATTATGGTACTTTTGGAAGCCTGTGAAACCTTGTGTAAAGTTGACTTAACAGTAACAGCTGTGAAGTCATCGACTAACTGGGTAGTGTATGGCAGTGTAGTGTAGTGTAGTGTAGTGGTAGTGTAGCAGTAGGGCAGCAGCCTTAAGTATCGGACACAGCATTAGACTTCTCTCCCCATTTCACCCCGGCATGACCACACTCTCAGCATGAGTGATCGGGGCTGAGAGAGGCAGGTTGGCATGACAACGGCGCAGAGTTTGCCGTCTGTTCCCACACAGTGCTGTTCTGGGCATAAATTCTTTAACATCAGGCCAAGTCTCAGAGACATTAAAGAGAACTGAGCAGTATTTATTCATAAAAGGAGTCATGCCGCCGCATTGTATGTCTTATGGCCGACACTGTTTCAAGTTCAATTAAAGTGAAAGAGAGAAATTAAGGAGGTGTATTTGTTTAGTGATGAATGAACTCAAAGTAATGTCAGCCTTGTTTGTTAACATCTCATACTTAATGCATTAAATGATTGGACTGCCAAGGTTTTTTTTAACTTTGATGAATTAAACCAAGAGAATAGACTTAAAGGAATAGTTCACCCAAAAATGAAAATTAACTGAGAATTTACTGATTAGGAGAAATTTAGCATTACGTCACTTGCTCACCAATGGATCCTCTGCAGTGAATGGGTGCCGTCAGAATGAGAGTCCAAACAGCTGATAAAAACATCACAATAATCCTGCAGTCCAACAATTAACATTAAGAGAAAAGCTAAAATTTGTAAAAAGCAAATCCATCATGAGCGTCATTAAGCAACGGTTTGAAACATCTTGATGGATTTGTTTATTACAAACACAGTTTTTCGATGAAAGTCAGTCATACAGAGTTCAAATGAAATAAGGGTGAATAAATGATTAAATAATTGTCATTTTTGGGACACTGTCCAATTAAGAAAAACTCTGCTACTGTAGTCTTACTAAGCAGCTAGTTGAACTTTGTGACCTATAACTTTCTTTTTAATTGATTTTATGATCAACATGATGTTGAATGTTTGCCCACCATGTCTGGTGTAATGGTGTCTTGCAGGTTTCGTGTAACCTGCAATAAAATCATCAATCACAAGATGTTTGACCATGTGGTTCTTGTCATCATCTTTCTCAACTGCATCACTATCGCCATGGAGAGGCCCAGAATCGACCCCTCCAGCTCTGTGAGTAATGTTACCTCATACACATACACACGCAAGCATATGTCATTCAAAACAACATTTGCTGTAGGAATAACAGCTCAGATAATTGAGACACAATTCTGAAAACAATCATGTGGCAATTAAAAAAAAATAAAAAAAATAATAATAAAGTTACAAGGTTTGAATTTCTTGATAAGTTCCCATGCTCCATCTTGTCCTTTGATCTCAAGGGTATGTACCTTTCTTTCTTTCTTCCTTTTTTTATTTCTTATTTATGTGTTTATTTATTTATTTATTTTTTGAGGACAAGCATTGCAGTACATCAGTGTGCTTATTCCTGATTCAGTTATCTAAGGCCAACCAGTGGTCGGTCTGTCTGTCTGTCTGTCTCTCTCACAGTCACTAGAGAAGGTTTTACAATTGTGTACTTGCTTGTGATGCCCTTAGTTAATCAGGACATCCTTGTTTCAGAGTGATAAGTCGCATGTAATTTACAGTTCAGGTTATTGGCTCAAAACATTTTCCACAACCGATTGCCCATGAAGCAGAGATGGTCTGCATGTGCAAGCTGAACAAATTTGTGACAAATGAAAACTCTTACTGACACTCAGTGTCAGGTCTCTGAACTGCATATCTGTCATCTCCAGATTCTAAAACTGGACAATCATTATGTTAGTTAGTATGTTAATCTAGCGTTTCCGTGATTATTACCTTATCTAACTGGTTGTTATGTTAGCGACTGAGAATAAAAAGTAGATTATTAGACGACTTGGGAGTTGGTTGGTTTTGCTGTTCTTTTAGGATGTTAAAACAGAAAAGATTCAATTTGTTATTCCTGCTTCCTTGCAGACCCAAAGGACACAATCATCTTGGCTTAAATGCTTTGCTACATCTCATTATCAGTTTTGTATGTTTACTACTTTCAGCAGTTACATGCTCCCTCAGGACACCTAATGTAAGACAGAAGAGAAAAAAGAAAGCAAGAAATGTTTTATCTTCTTTCCTTTCTTATGTAGATCATAATAGTTATAAGAATAATACTATAGAGTCAAAAAATGCTACACTTCATATACTGTTTTTAAACTGTACTTGAGTAAAAGTATTTCAGGGGGAAAAAAACATCTATTTTAAGTTACTGTTTTCAAGTTTCATGTTTTTTTTGTTTTTTTTTGTTGGACTTGGCAGAACAGCACTGCAGCAAACCTTCTTGTATGGAGACAGCAGTCCATCATTTTTGCAGCTACCAGATTCCTGACATTTCAAGGAACATATTTTCATAAAATATTGCCCACCAAGATTTTTCATTCACTCGTGTGCCAAATGAGGACATTTTCAAGCTTTTTATTAATTTGCTGTTAACCCAAGTCAAGAGCTAATTTGGACCTTCTAACCATAATGAATTAATTATTTAATATCACATTTATGTCCAGAGTCACTCCAGCACTCATTCTGTAGCAATTTGTCAGTGTCAGATGTCATTATATGATTTTTCACACTGAGCTGCTTTATACAAAATTGCACAGGAGTTCCTAGTCTTGTGAATGGTCCTCTTATTGTATAACAACATGATGTAATCTGAATGTAAGCATTCAGATTACATCATGTTTTTTTTTTGCATCAGACTCATTGCATGTTGAGCGTATATAGTGATGCATACATTAGCATTATTTTCTTGTATCCAATGGCTGTGTGTCTGCCTCTGTAATGGACCCTAACTGTAACTGTAACTGTAAGACCCTATAGAGCACTCCACATGGCAGAGATCTGCAGTGCAGATGGCCTCGTGTCCATCAGAGCTGGAGGACTCCAGTTAATATATTCCTGTGAATTTAAATCCAATTATATTGACTTGTTCACTATCACAATAGATTTATATTTAGTTTTTTTCCCCACATTTATACACATTCTTCAAACTGATGAAGGATTCTGTCAGTAATGGAAATAGAGGACCTTAAAGCTTACTCACGTCTAATGGTTTTTTGAAACACATTATGTAGCACGGAAAGGTTGTTTCCTGTTTTGTTATTTTCCGAAGGTTTAATCAATTTAATCAGTTTTTTTTTCCCATGTGTGCCTATGAGCCTCTATGATATTTGTTTACTTCCCCCTTAAGACATCCTTTCAGCACTTCACAGAGGAGGAAAAAGATGTGAATTTTTTTCAGAGTGGGGCAGATGGCACCCAGTGCTTTTGCCATTTAAGAAAGTAAATTATGTATTTTCATTGGTGTAAATGCATAGTAAGATTATTATGATTAATGAAAGATGTTACAAAGACAAACAGTGGATTTTTTAATGAGTAAAATACAGTTTATTTAAATTTTAATTTGCATTTAAATATGAAAAAAATCCCTGAAAATTAAGAAACAAAAAACGAATACCAGTAGATGACTTTTCCGCATTGCATGTTTTGTCATTTGTGAATGTAAGTACAATTTCTAAATGTTTTCTGGTAATGACCTGTGACATGTTTGCTAAGGAATGTGCACATTTCAATATGAATCCACAGTATGATATGACATTTATGAGTAATTGCAGAATCTTTGGACCAGGTAAAGTCAGTTCGGTCCCACTGTCACTGCAGAATTGTGTAACTTTGTCTGTAATAGAACCTTTGTGTTCAGCTTATGCAAACCATCTCATTTCCATGACAGACATGATCTATAGTAATGGGTACCTCACTGAGCTCAGATGTGTGTCATCAATATTTCATATGGAGACATTTTTTCATTTGGGTATGAACAAATGCTATCCGACTCCCCACCTGAGTCCCCCTCTGAAGACAAGGCCTGAGCATGTCATCTCAGTACCCAAAGTAATGGGAAACGGGTGATGAAAATACCAAGGGTAGTTTTAGCAGCTTTTGATTACTCTCTCCCTCTCTTTCTATCTCTGGTCTCGTACACATTGAACATTTGAGATTTGAGAATGACAAATGCATTTAAATTCAGAAGTGGATCCCCAAAATTAATCATTACTGATTGCTTTTGATTCACATTCATTTGCTAATGAATCATTTTGATAATTTTTTTAACCGATGGACAGACTCAGAAAGAGCTGTTTTACAGTTTTACACAGCAGCAATGTTCTATCTATCTCTCTATCTATCTATCTATCTATCTATCTATCTCTCTATCTATCTATCTATCTATCTATCTATCTCTCTATCTATCTATCTATCTATCTGTCTGTCCGTCTGTCTATCTCTCATCTAGTG